GATTTTTCTTGTTTTTTAGGACAAATAAAGAGATACGTATTTTTTGGTTTGGCGAAAAAAATTTTTTCGCAGAGTTATGAGTATTTGAAAATTTTAAGGCACATAGTGATTTTAGAGTTAAACAGCTGAAAAATTATTTTTAAATCTTTCTAGTTTTTACAAAAATCAATATTTTTCAATTCTGTTTCTTGATTTTAGTAGTGTTTTTGATACTCTTTCTTTACAAACTTCAAAAATTTGAAAAATTTTGAAAATTAACAAAATGGCGGCCATTTTTTAAAAATCAAAAAAGTCAATTTTCTCAAAAACATCATTTTTTAATTTTCTGCAAATTTTTGTGTGGTTTCTAGATGGAAAAAGAAACTTTTTCTAAAAGGTCTCATGTTCGCTAAAACTTTTTTAGAGTCGCTATAATTTCTTTTAGAAAATAAAAAAACTCATTATTTTGAGTAATGTGTCGACATATATATTTTTCATGTATACAAGGGTGTTCATCTTTTTTAATAGTGCTTTTGACACTTTTTCTTTTCAAAATTTCTCAACTTTACTAAGGCAAGTCACCTTTTTTGAAAGGGTTATTTTTTTTATCTAGAAACCACAAAAAAATTTTCAGAAAAAAAGAAAATAAAGTTTTGGAGAAAATTGAGATCTTATATTTTTTGAAAAACGGCCGCCATTTTGTTAATTTTTAAAATTTTTAATTTTGAAAAGAAAAAGTGTCAAAAGCACTATTAAAAAAGATGAACACCCTTGTATACATGAAAAATATATATGTAGACGTCCACATGAAAAAGGCCCATTTTGTCGGTCATTTTCAAAAGTAATCCGTATTTTAAAAATGGAGGTGTGGAAAAATTTAAAACCTTTTGATTTTTCATCTTTAAGGTGTCCTGGACTGTAAACAATTCTTATCTGAATAACTTTCTAGAAGTACCAGAGATATTGATGTTAGAGTCTTTTTTTTGTAATTGTCGAAATGAAAATTTGGATATTGCGTCAATTTTTTTATAATAGAGACTGTCAAAAAATTTTAAATAAGTTTAATATCCATTCTTTTTCTTCAAATGACACAATAAAATTGTACCTAATCATTAATCTTGTAAAAAATGTTTTTTTAATAAAAAAAACTGTCCTTTTTAGAAAAGGGCCCATATTGTCGATTTTTCGTATTTTCAAAATTAAGAGGGGGGGGATGGTTTTAAAAATTAAAAACCTGTTGGTTTTTTATCTTCAAAGTGCCCTAAACTGGAAACAATTCTTATCTGAATAACTTCCAAGAAGAAACAGATATACAACAATTAGTTGGTATCGCAATCTTTAATTCCGTTTTTCTCGAAATGAGGTTTTTGGCGTCCTGAACTTTGAAATTCCGTAACTCAGCAAATTTTTAACCAAAAAAGTTCTAAGACCACTAAAAAATTTTCCAAATTTTGCCAGGAATACGCCCATATAGATAACTTTAATAGTGCCAAAATGGGCCCTTTTCATGTGGACGTCCACACATGTCGACACATTTCTCAAAATAATGAGTTTTTTTATTTTCTGAAAAAAATTATAGCGACTTCCAAAAAGTTTTAGCGAACATGAGACCTTTTGGAAAAAGTTTCTTGTTCTATCTAGAAACCACACAAAAATTTGCAGAAAATTAAAAAATGATGTTTTTGAGAAAATTGACTTTTTTGATTTTTTAAAAAATGGCTGTCATTTTGTTAATTTTCAAAATTTTTCAAATTTTCAACTTTGTAAAGAAAGAGTATCAAAAACACTACTAAAATCAAGAAACAGAATTGAAAAATATTGATTTTTGTAAAAACTAAAAAGATTTAAAAATAATTTTTCAGCTGTTTAGCTCTAAAATCACTATGTGCCTTAAAATTTTCAAATACTCATAACTCTGCGAAAAATTTTTTTTTCGACAAACCAAAAAATACGTATCTCTTTATTTGTCCTAAAAAACAAGAAAAATCATATTAAACTTGATTTAGAATTTTCAACCTATTCGCCCTGCATGAATTGAAATAGAAACAGCCTTTAATAGTTTTATAATATCGTGTTTTAGAATAAAATTATCTTAAAATGTATTGAAATAACGTTTTTTCAAATGTTTTTATTGTTTTTAATAAAACGTGTATACCTTCTACTGCTTTTACTTATCAAACGAACAACAATATTAATTAATATTATTAATATCAATGAATTAATTAAAAGTATTATTGTTATTATAATATATAATACATTGAATAGAAATACACTGAAAAAATAATAGGCAGAACGCGCTTTTTCCGTAAGCAATTTTTACAAAAGAAATAAGTACACGCAAAGCAATTATTTATTTAAAAAAACAATTTTATTTTTGCCTTAGTTAATAGGTTAAAATTACATTTTTATTTGAATACTTAGAAAATACGATATCAAATAATTATGTTTTACCTTTTTATTAATTATATTTGTAATTCGAGTGAAAAGGAACTTTTTTTATTATTATTACATTAATAATATTTTACTTTAATTAAATAATAAAACTACTCTTTATCAATTTTAATAACAGTTATGCATGTGTGAACTTTATAACCAAAACGGATTAGTTTTATGCGTAGACAATTTTATTTAAAAAAATTATTATTATCATTTAATTGATAATACCTATAAATATTTCAAAAAAATTTCTTATTTGAGCATCCATGATTTTAATTAATTATAAAATTCCGGATTATTCTGTCACATTTCATGTATTTCGCGCTCCTCTGTATATTTTCTAGACTGTATAATCACAATTACTCGTAGTGAAAGAAAAATAGTTAGGCGCCATCTCGTTGTGTAGTTGAAAGTACATTATTCTGCTGTCGATAATGTTACCATAAGTCACCAACACACTTACACTACTTTATTGATTATTCTTTCGATTCTGACACCACTCCCATTTTTTAATTATTTCTACAAAAAAATAGTGCTTATTGGCAATTTTATTGCATAAACAGCAACTACATATTGCTATTAAATAAGTGTATACTCTATAATAAGTAAGGACATTTATTTTACTCTTTTTTAAATAAGTTTACAAACAATATTTAATCAAAATTTGACTAACAACTTTTTGTTTAATTATTTTTACATTAACAACAAACCAATCTATTAATTTTAATGCATAGAAATGTTTCTAAAAACCTCCTTTTCAATATTTTACGCGCAAAACTGCAATATTTATTGTTTTCATAGTTTTATTAACAAATCCGTGAAAGTCTGCGAAAAGTCCGCGAGTTCGCGGACTTCTCACGGACACCAATCCGGTAGGGTGCTTTTAAAAATTTAAAATGGCTAATATAATATGGGGAAAAGAAATTTAAAAATTTTTCTATCCACGCTCGCTGGTTGTGAGTCGGCGCAAGTGTTAAAAAACAGAAGTCAATTGTCAGTGAGCGTTCCTAGGACATTTACACCTACCTGATCATTTTAAATTTATAAAAACTTACATCAAATTCGTAATCAGCGACCCTAGAAACTACCGAGTGACAAAGTTAAGGTCAATTGCATAAAGTAAAAATTTTTGTTTCATATTGGATGGGGGGGTCAAAAATTGGTGAAAAATTGTCCTCGTCGTTTATGGACGGCCCCTAAGCTTATACCTCGGCTTATATCATGACTATCAATAAATCTCGGTGTCAATCTTTTGACAAAGAAGGAAGTATACTTTAATAAAATAATTCATCTAATGTGTAATAAATTTGTATAAAGTTTTTCTATCGCTTGACTAAACTAATCGAAACAGAAACCATTATTTTGTGATTTGACTTGCTTGGTTGCAAATGTTTGGTATGACTTGTTTACATTTAGTTTTGAGTTGAAAATTATGTGCAATGTTGCAAGACGTTTAAGGAGCTGTTCAATATATTTACAATATAGCATAGTTTATACGAGTTTAAAAAAGCATGTTTTATATCCGACTTTTAAATTTTTTTGCTTATAACGAATTCTTGTAATAATACAGTTTTCCAGCAAACTGAAATTTTAAGAAAATAATTATAAAAATATTATTATATATATGTCGTAAAACTGCTCAGTGTGTTAAATTTAATTATTGGTTTCCGTCTTTTATGTTTTTAATATTCTTAAAAAAAATTTGTAATCTTTTTCTAATATTTCAGAAGAAAAAAAAACATCTTAAAGTCTTAGTCACATTTTTATATACACACAATGTAATAAGGTCTTAAGTATCATAAGACAAAAGCAGAAATATCGCGCGCGCGTAGCTCTGCTAGTTATAAATAATTTTAGTACATATAAATAATAAAATTAGTGAAAACAATGAACTTCCTAGATCTAACGATGACAATAAATAATTATAAGAAATTCTATCTAATAATAATAATAAAAATCTGCAACCTGGATACGATTAAAAGAGTATAGAAAGGCCTATTGATTGAAATTTCCAATAATTTCTCTTTTTTTAATTGAAAAGAATTTTCCCGGAAAATATTATGTAATAATCACGTCTTTTTGAAGTAAAGTTGGTTAGTAACAAGGAGAATAAAACGACCACGTTGACCGCAAGAGGAAAACGGTATAAGGATAATTACAATGAGCAGTCACGATTACGAAGGTTTCAATGAATTCCTGGCAGCAATAAACTCGCGTTAATACGGGGCTAAGTGCTCGCTATTTTAATTAACTGCTATCACCGTCTCGTGAGTACATGGGCGCTTTCATACATATGGTCAAAGCTAATAGAAAAGAGAGACGATCGATCTGCCTTGCCGATGTCGTGCTGGTTTGTCAACAGCTTGTTTATAATTATGTATGAAGAAACGCTTTGTCGTCGCACAGTTTAACGCGTGTGTATGCGCTCTTTTCCAGCTCTTGATACGATTCTCCATTCGCCGCGACTTTAGATCGATTCACGACAAGAAACATGCGCAATTACTTGTCGTTGATCATTGAAAGACTATATACATACATATACTCTATCCACATGTGGCGGCATGATCAAAGAAAATCGTGCGATTATGTTGAATTACGAAGTCGACGACATTGATTCAGGAAGGAAGGGTAAATACACTCCCAATGAAAAGGGAACACAAAACACTTTTCTCTCTACTTCTCAACAACAATCTTAAACGTGACGCTGTCTTAGTTTCTAATGAGCTGTGTGTCATATAAAAACTGTCTCGATAAGCTATGTGACAAGTTTATTTTCATAAAATCTTTTTCGTCTAATTGCAACCAAGAGGATTGTCATTTTTTTATTTCCACACTGACATGACGAAAAACATCCCTTCCTATCGAAAGAAAATACAAATAAAAATTGTAATCTCTCCTCATTCCTTCACTTTGATTCTAGAGTTGTACTAATTATTTTTAATTACTACCAACTTTAATCAGAGTTAAAATTCAATTCACTACTAACTAAAACTAAAATCATTATTTGAAGTTGCATAAGTGTTGTGAATAAAAACTGCGAACATGTTTGTAAATAATATAAAATGGTCTGTTAAGAAAATAATTGAAAAGAATATTCGAATGAACGCAAAATTGTCTTTTTTACTAAAATTATATTATTTATATGAATGTAGTATAATTATTATAATAGTTACTTATTGTCATTAAATATATGTGAACGTTCGCATGAAAAGGGACCACTTTGGCACTATTGGATTTATCTATATGGGGAGGGGGGGATTCTTTGCAAAATTTGGGAAATTTTGAGTGGTCTTAGAACCTTTTTGGTGAAAAATTCGATGAGTTACAGAATTTCAATGTTTAGAATGTCTAAAACCTCATTTCGAGAAAATCGTAATCAAAAATTGTAATGCAAATATCTTTGGTTCTTCCAGGAAGTTATTCAGATAAGAATTGTTTTAAGTCTCGTATACCTTAAAGATGAAAAATTAAAATGTTTCGAATTCCCCCCCCCCCTTTATTTTTAAACAATGAACAAGTAACAGACATCCGACAAACTGGTCCCTTTTCTAAAATTGCATTTCTTAATTTCTAAAAAACGAAATCAAAAAATGTAATAGAAACTTTTTAGTTCTTCTGGAAAGTTATTCAGATGAGAGTTGTTTTAAGTTTAGTACGCCCTTAAGATAAAAAATCTCAAGGTTTTGAATTTTCCCGCCCCCTCCATTTTGAAACAGTAGCAACTTTTGCAACGGCCCGACAAAATGGTCCCTTTTCTAAAAATGTGTTTTTTAATTAATAAAACGGATTTTTTAAGAAGTTAAGTGTCAAGTATTATTTTATTGAGTTATTTGAAGAAAAAAAAGAGTCAGTAGACATAAAAAAAATTTTTGAGGGACTTTATTATGAATAATCTAAGAAAATATCGAAATTTCCATTTCTAAAAAAACTAAATTAAAAATTGTAATGCGAATTTCTCTGGTTCTTCTGGGAAGTTATTCAGATAAGAGTTATTTTAAATCTAATACACCCTCCAGATAAAAAATCAAAAGGTTTTGAACTTTTCCGCCCTCTCTATTTTGAAACAGAAACAACTTTTGCAATAGACCAACAAAGTGGTCCCTTTTTATTTTTTTGTCTAACAACGAAATAAAATACTTAAAGTATCAATAAATTAATAAAAAATGCATGATTCGACGTGTGGGACCCTGTAGATTAAGAAAAAAGAATAAAAAAGTTTCGTCCACATATGTATACACTACCGTCCGTGAGTATCAGGACGCCCCTTTTTTCATAAGTAGGAAAATGCTTAAAACGTAGGAAATAAGAATGACAAAAATTTTTCGTATTTTTTTCCTAAAAGCTAATGAAATTATGAAAAGATTGACACCTGATCGAAGAATTTTTGTTGACTATTCTGTCAGATACAGAAAAAATAATGGATTTTGCATGCTTTTAGTAATTTTTTAATTTCTCGAAAACTAATAAACTTTTTTTAGCTTTCTTGGTCTTGTTTTAATCTCTATTAAATGTAGAATCTAAATTAATTAATGTTATTGTGGTATAAATTTTTCAAAAAAAATTTGAAACTGTGAAAGTAGGATAAAAAATTTTGAAAAACAGATTGACACTTTTTCAAAAAAAAAATTTTTTTTAATTAAATAATTAAGTAATTAAAAAGCTTTTTTGAATTTTAGTATATCTATTAAATGAACATATTTTACATTGACTTTTTTGACACTTTAATATTCATCATAATTTTTTGAATTTTTTTAATCCTACTTTTACGGTTTCAAATTTTTTTGGAAAAATTTATTTCACAAAACCAGTTAATAATTTAGATTCTACATTAAATAGAGATTAAAACAAGACCAAGAGCGCTAATAAAAGTTAATTAGTTTTCGAGAAATTAAAAAATTACGAAAAGCATGCAAAATCCAGTATTTTTTCTGTATCTGACAGAATAGTCAACGAAAATTCTTCGATCAGTTGTCAGTCTATTTATAATTTCATTAGCTTTAAGGAAAAAAATACGAAAAATTTTTGTCATTCTTATTTTCTACGTTTTATGCATTTTTCCACACATGAAAGAAGGGGCGTCCTGACACTCACGGACGGTAGTGTACACTGAAAAATTGTTGATAGAACAGTTCCGCTATTAACTGTTGTGCAGCGCTACTTGACGTTTAGACTCACAGCTCAATCAAAATTGGGCGAGTTTCTCTCTTATGGAAGGTCCACAATAGCCTAAACTATACTTTCAGCGCGTTAATGTAAGCGCGCTGATGTGACGTCAGAACGTTGATTGCCAACTGTTACAAAATTCTGACATTTGTTCCAGTTCCGCTATTCCGGTAATCTAATGGATTTAGTGAAATATATAACGTAAACGAAAACCAGGTTATTATTTATAATATAGTGAATAGTGTTTGCTTTTTATCAAAAGCTTTTCCGTCAAAGGTAATTTTTTATTATATATATATATATATAAATTACACTGTAACTTTAAACTTTTTTCCACAAACAAACAAATTTTATTTTATAACAGAAAAATTTTCTAACTACTAGTAATGTTTCGCAAAATGTAAACACACTGAGTTCTTAATTTAAATAAATTTTTCCTTTTTTAAAAAATAAAATTTGTTTGTTTTCTTTTTTCTCAAACTTCAGAAAATAATAAAGAAAAATTATCTAATTATTGGTGATAATGAAACCAAAATAAATTATTTGTTTAATTTTTTTCTTATATTTACAGAAAGTAATATGGAATTATACTTCTTATTCACGTTAATAACGCTGCAGTTTTTTAATATTGTTTATCAATATCGAAGATTGAATGAATTGTTTGGGTTTGTTGTTCGTCGTTGGTGGGTCCGACCCCATATACAGGATGCTGTGCGTGAACTTTTCGGAGCATACGAAGCACTTTTTCGATACTATGCCGAAAACGATCAAGAGGAATTCGTTAAAATGACCAGAATGACACCATGGGATTTTGAAGAACTTCATAATATTGTTGGACCTCATCTTCAAAAATTTAGCTTTCGTCGCCCATTACCAACAAGATTGCGTTTAGCTTTGTGTCTAAAGTAAGTTCACTATATCAGAAAAAATTAAAAAATTTTGTAGAACGTTCGTAGAAATAAGATATTATAATTTAAAGGCAACAAGTTTTTATGGTTATGTACAATTGAAAAAGTGACAGATTTATCTGTTTAAATTTTAGTACTTTGTAAAAAAGTTATACAAATATTCAATGATAGTTAACAAAATTTTCTTAGTCTTAGAAGCTTGTAGGATTTTAAAATTATGAATATCTTTTTTATTTAGATTTTAAAAAATGTAAATTTATTTTAGTTCATTATTATTTTTCTTTATTCAGTTTTCTAGCTCACGGCGATAGTGTAGCAACAACTAGACAGTTTTTTCGTATTGGGCGTTCTACAACGTATGCTATTATCGCGGAAATATGTCCGATTATTTGGAGAGAACTTTCGCCTCTCGTCCTAAGAAGAAAAACCCAGCGCGAATTGAAAATAATCGCTGGTGGTTTTCGTGCTAAGTGGGATAGGCCAAATTGCGTAGGAATCGTAGATGGAAAGGAAATTAGAATCAAATCACCACCGCATTCTGGCAGCCTTTTCTTTAATTATAAGAAGTTCTTTAGTTTTAAGCTCTTAGCTGCATGCGACGCATACTATAGATTCATATGGATAGACGTAGGAGATTATGGTAAATGGATATGACAAAAAATTATTATAGAATATTAGTTTTATCTTGTTAAACAATGTACTTTTTACAGGATCTGTCAGTGATACATCAGCATTTAAAAATACTTATTTTCACTACTGCCTAGAGCGCAATGAGGCAGATTTTCCTCCAGAATGTCGTCTGCCGAGATCAAATATCATCATGCCTCATTTTCTTATAGGGGATGAAATTTTCCAACAGCAAACATACATGATGGTTCCGTTTGCCAGACATCGTGGCCTTACTGAAAGGCAAAGAAACTTCAATTATAGGTGAATGTATTTTAGTTGATTTTTTAATTTCTATTCTTTTTTGTAGATTATAAAATAAGAAGAAATTTTTTTCTTTATTTATTTGCAGATTATCGAGAGCCCGCAACTGTATTGAGGACGCCTTCGGGATTCTGTGCTCGATGTGGCAAATTCTCCACAAAAAATTATCATTCAAATTGGACACATCAATAGCAATTGTGGAAGCACTTGTGTGCCTGCACAATTTTATTTTAAATAAAAAATTAGAACGAGGTGAAAATTTTGAATGGGATAGAAGTACTTTTCATCGAATAAGTAAGTTATAAATTACATATAAGTTATCATGAATAAAGCTTTTTATTAATTTGAAAACAAATTTAAATTTTCAAGTTTTAACCATTTTTACAATAGAAAGTAAAACAATACTGATTGCTATAATAATTTTAATTATTATTCAGATCCTACAGTAGACCCTGACATCGAGGAGGACGTAATTCCCCAAAATCGTTTTGAATTTCGAGAAAGACTAGCAGATTACTTTCAATCAGAGGCGGGTGCTATCTACTTCAACTAATTCAATTTTGGATGCGTCCAGGTATATTAAAATTATAAACTTTCTCATAATTTCATTGAATTAAAGTAATATGGTTTTTTTAATTTAATACCTTTTCAAAACTCAATTGTTTCTAAAAATACATGCTTTATGCTTTTAATATTTAAATATTATCTAAAATTTAACGTGAAATTCATTTTTACATTAATTTTTATTAGAAAACTCTACGAGAATACAAAATTGTTTAAATAAAAAAATAATTTATTTATTGAATAATTAAAAGTTTCTTTAAATTCAATTCTCTCGACAAATTTTAATAAAATTTTGAAGAATATTAATAATATTTTAATATTTCATAATATTCAATATTACTATTTTTGAAAATATCTTTGTGAAAATAATTAAATTCCTACGTAGAATTTTATTTAATTTTTTTTTAAATTATTAAATTCTTTTGGAATATTTTATTAAAATAATATATATTAAAAATAATTGAATTGAGAAAAATTTTGAAAATAAATGAAATTTTGCAAAGAATTTTATTGGAATTTATGTTATTTATAAAGATAATTACATTTGAACGAGAATTTCTAAAAAAAATTTAAACATAATTAAATTATTACAAAAAATTTTATAACTTTTGAAAATAAGTAAAATTCTCCAATTATTTGTAACTTAAAAAATTTAACTTATGTCAGAAGAACTTGAATTATTAAAATGTTTCATAAATCTAGGTTCAGCAAAATTTCTAATTAAATTTATTAAAAATTGAAATTTTATAAAATTAAAAATTATAACCTTTTTAAGTTCTTTTATGTAGTTATATGACAATTGTAAACGTACTTCTTTTAAATTTAAATTAATAATTTATGAGCCAAACAAAAAAAGACACAAAAATTCATCATTTTTTTATGAATTCTAAACTTTTAATTTTTTCCAGTACTTTCAGGGTGTTTACAACACCTGGAAAATCTGGAAAACCGGGAAATGTCAGGTAATTTTTTCATCATGACTTGAAATACTCTTGAACAATATTTTCAATGCCTACAATTAGTTTTACAAATTTTTAGTTAAAAATTAATAGTGATAATTAATATTGCCTTTCCAATCCTTATTAATAAAATCAGATGTCTGTCTGTACATTGCTTAAAACTTCAAAATGTTAACATGATTAGTTATTATGGACATCAGAGATTCCAAAAATGTTCTTAAAAAATTTAATGTATGTATGTATGTATGTATGTATGTATGTATGTATGTATGTATGTATGTTTGTCTGTCACAAAAACTTTGTACCCCAATCACACAAAAACATGTGAATCGATTTAAGTCCAACTTGGTAGGTTATTAGGTATTGACCCAAGGAAGGTTTATAAATTTACAGATTTAAAAAATATTAATTAGAACGGGAGATATTCAATTTTTTCAAAAAATTCAAAAAATCGAAAATTTCAAAATTTTTTATTTTTCATGGATTGCTTTTGAAGTTTATATACTTGAGTATTATATGTTATTTAGTCACATTATAGCATAACTTTGCAAAAAATAAAGTCCTATAACTAATATGTAAGTATAAAAATGTTTTCAAAAAATCGAAAATTTCAAAATTTTACATTTTTTTATGGATTGCTTTTAAACTTTCTATATTTGAGTATTACATGTTATTTGGTCACATTTTAGCATAATTTTTCAAAAAATACTATTCTACAACTAAGATGTAAATATAAAATATTTTCAAAAACTTGAAAAATGGAAAATTTCCAAATTTCACAATTTTTAATGGATAGCTTTTAAACTTTCTAAAAATGAATATTATGTTATTTAGTCAGATTTTATCATAATTTTGCAAAAAATACTATCCTACAAGAAATATAAAAAAATTTTCAATATATCAAAAAATCGATACTAATTACTATATGAAGTATAATTCAGTAGTATTTTTGGAGTCTCTGATTAATATTTTGATGTCAAAATAGTGCAATTCAAAATTATTTATCAAATCAATCTAATATTTTCAAGAAGTTCAGAAATATTGAAAATGGAAATTTTTTATGATTAAAATGATTTCGCAGGATGTCAAGAATTGTAAGTCACCTGTGATACAATACAAGCATATTATGCCACTAGGCAAAAACTTACATGTTAAAACGTTTTTTCATTTTAACTCTAGATTTAACTTTAAGAGATGTTTTGAGCAATTTAAAGACAAAAGTTAACACGGTGTCTATTTTTGTTTAACAAAATTCCCTGCTTTGTCCAAACTTTTCACGGTTTATCTCTTTTTTGTCAAATTTAAATTTACTTGATTTTATCCATAAATAAATCTACAAATGGCTATAAAAATTTACTTATTTTATGAAAATACTGTTTCTTAAGTTCATATAAATATAGATTGTATTACTTGCTGTCGTACAGTTTTCTGTTTATACTAATACATTTAACTGGGTATCTACCAAACGGGAAAAACTGTAAAAAGCTGGGAATATGCCGAACCGGGAATTTTCCTATCAAATTAAGAAAAAGTTTCATTATATTAATTCGCTTTTAAAAAATTGCTTTTTACTTCAATTTTTATTGATGTATAATATTTATGAAAACAGACCCGAGTCAAAATTTAAGCCCTACTTTCAGCCTAAAATTTAGGTCTTATGTTAGGTTTTAGCAGTCGTAACGTAGGGTCTACTTGCGATACAATTAGTTCCAATTAGACTCTACTATAACTCCAAAAACTGTATGGAAAATTTAATTTTTTTAATACATTAATTAAAGTACTACAAATTGATAAATATTGTTCTCTGCATTTGAATTGGTTAAAATAACTAATTTGATAACAAAAAGTCAATCACTGATTCAAATAGTAATATTTTCCTACTAAAATAGCTATAATGGTAACTAATTATTATTTTTTTCCGGTCAAATTAAATTCCCTAGCTATTTCCTGATTTTCCAGATTGGTAGAAACTTAAATGTATTGGTAGAAACTAAAACCCGTCGAAGACGGGTACGACAGCTAGTTAAAAATAATAAGTAAAGGTCCGTAAATTTACTTAAAGTCCATAAAAGTCAGTTTTTTTGAAAAAAGGTCCGTAAAGTCCGTAATTTGATTGAAAAAGGACGAAAAGTTTGTAAATTTTGCGATATAATTTGGAAAATTGTAGAGAAATTACAAATGATTACAGAAATTTAATTATTTTGAAAAGTAATAAAATTCTTCGCAAAAAATTCAATTAGCTATGTACAAAAATTTTTTAAAATTCTCGTAAAAATTTTCAATTATTTTTAGAAATTATAAAATTCTTCTCGAAAATGCAATTTTTTAAAAAAAATTTAATAAAATTCTTTGTAATATTTCAATTATTTTCAAAAAATTTCACGAATTCAATGATTTTTAATATTTACTATTTTAATCAAATTTTCCAAAAAAATTCAATTATTTAAAAAAGTTTTAATCAAATTTTTTTGAAAAAAAGTTCGTAAAGTCCGTAATTTGATTAAAAAAGGACGAAAGTTTGTAAATTGTACTATATAATTTAGGGAATTTTAGAGAAATTATAGGTAAATAATTGCAGAAATTAAATTATGTTCAAAATTTTTTAAAAATTCTAATTAAAATTTCAATTATTTTCAAAAATGTTCCACATTTCAATGTTTTTTGAATATTTTCTTTTACAAATTTCTTAGTCATAATTAAATTTTTTTATTTTCATAAATAATAAAATTTTTACTGAAATCTCGATAAGATAATTCATAATTGATAGCTTCTTTAACCTTTAATATTTAACTGTCGAATGATAAATTCATTTTCTTTAATTCATTAAATTATTTATTTTTGTATTTAAATAATTAAATTCTAATAAAAATAGATCAAAAAATGAATTTCATTTAAAATTTTAGATAATAATTGAATATTAATTCATTATTAACTTTTCCCTAAATTCCTTGCTTTCCCTGACCTGTGTCAACCCTATTTTTAAATTTAAAAAAAGTCAAATAATTTTGATTTTAGAGAGTTATAAAATATTTTAAAAATTTTATTTCTTTAAATAATTTACGAAACTTAGACAACATTAATCTGCCTTTGTAAAAATGTTTTAACTCTTTTCTAAATGCAGAAAATAAAGCTTCTATATATTATTTTCAATCGAAATGAAGAAAGTTTATAGCCAGAAAAAATTATTAATTAGTACACTCGATTCTCGTTATAACGACGATCTCGGGACTTCAAAATCTCGTTATAACGACAGAAGGAGAAGATCCTACTTCACGTTCTATTCAAACGTCAAATACGTGCAAAATTTTTCGTAATGTATGTTTATTTATATTAAAAGTTTTTAAATTATAGAATCAGTTTAAAGAAAAAGTAAGTATTTTTAATAATAATCGGATCACTAGATTCTTTAGGTTAAATAAAGTTAAGAGTCGATTAAATTTGTCGTTTTTTTTGAGTTAACCAAAATTTTGGTTAAATTGAATTCTTAAATTCGTTCGTGTTTTTTTTGTCGTTGTATCGAGAGTTTTAATGTTCGTTATAACGAGAGAACGTTGTAACGAGATTCGTTATAACAAGAATCGAGTGTAATAAGAAAAAAATAAGTTTAGGAAATAGAATTTTCCATGCACTTTAAATAGTGCTGTGCAAAATTCGATTCAAACCGAGTTTGGTTCGGTTTTTGGGCGACGAAATGTCGAATTTAGAAATTCGACATTTTAGCGTTCCAAAATCGAACAAAACTCGGTTCGGTTCGAATGTTGTAGTAGCTCGAATGTCGAATATTCGACATTGGAACTAGGCAAAAAAATTTGAACAGTTCGGTTCGTATTATTTTGCACAGCTCTAACTTAATAATAAAAATAATTATTAATTTTAGTCTTTACTTTACTTTTTTTTACTTCACAAAAATTAAAAATATGGTTTGTAGGAAATATTCATTTGTTTTGGTTAATAATAGTCCATTCAGTTTCTTAGCAACAAAAGTTTTTTGTTTATTTTTCATTCGCATTTTTTGGTAAAATAGAAGTTTGGCCGTTGCGTCGGGCAAGGCAATTGAGAGAGTCGAAAATTATTTTTGCTTCAAAAAGAATAATTATGAATAGAAATGATGACTCAGATCGAGCTCTCATATATGCAGTTAAATCTTTTCCATGTTTATTTGACAATTCATCCAATAGTGGTTTATTTCACAAGCAAAGGAAAGAAAGTGCGTGGCAAAAAGTCAGTGAATTTTTGGCCAAAAATGGATTTAGTATAATAGGTAAAGCTAAGAAGCAATTGTTTTAATGCTGGAAAAAATCATTCTATTTCTTAAATTTATTAACATAAATATTCAATTTTGTTATATATTTTAAACCATGCTTATATGCTTTAAAATTATTTTAATACAGAACTACTGTGAGCCAGATGAATCAAGAAATTAATATTTTTGAATTGTTTATAGATCCAATTCAACGATGGAGAGCACTACGTCAAAATTTTACAAGGCACCATAAAAATGGGAACATGAATTGGTTGTTTTATAATGAAATGCTATTTTTAAGCGAGTTTATCAAACATAAACCTCAAGATGGTGTAAATAATTCTCAAGGCAATAATAACATCGCAGAATCACAAAAGACTTTCAGACCATCTTTTGAGAATTATAGAGGGCAAGTTCATTATTGCATTATCAAAAATCGTTATTTGGTAGCCAAACTTATCAAATATATATATATATTATATTGATTCCTAAGAACGTTATTTTTATAATTTAAAATATATAAAACGTCCTATAATTATTTATTATAAAGCATTTTTTTTCATTTTAGCACAAAATTTATATTAAATTTTATTTGCAGAAATCTTGGAACGAATAATAGTGGATCTATTAAACGTATTAATACTCCATTTGAATTGATGCACAGTGTTACTCATCAGGATAATTATGCAACTTTAAATACTCCAGAACATAGAGAACGTTCAACTCTTGGCAGGAATTTCGATTTTACGCACAGTCCTTTATCACAGAATATAAATAAAGCGTCAATTTCTCAGGAAAACCGAAATCTTGAATCAGATTCCATACTATCGTACGCTCCTCCATTTAAGGAGATTCATAACACAGATTCGACATCCAGTTCATCTTTGAAGGATTTATCTTCAACTCTTGGAAGAAATTTCGTTCCTACACATAATCCTAATTCTCAAAATGCAAGTAATGTAACATTGACTTCACGGGATCTCAACTCAGCTACGACTTTAGGCTCAACTTGGAAGGACTTGCCTTTAACGCTTGGAAGGAAATTTATAGTTCCACGTGATATGATTAACAACAACTCTAAGGATATCAATAATGGAGCATTAATATCAAACGATCGCAACACAAATTCCATACCGTCGTACGCTTCTCAATTTCAGGAAATTGATAACACAGATTCAACTTCCACTTCAGCTTTGGAGGACTTCTCTTCAACTCTTGGAAGGAAATTCATGGTTACTCCTAACACTTCATCTCATGATATTAATAATGCTGCATCGAGTTCTAAAGAACACAGTAAAAGTTTATCTTCTTTACTTCCTCAAAGAGAAATAGTATCATCGTGTAGTCCTCCGTTTCAAGATAACACTGCTTCCACATCTTATAGATGGAGAGAATTTTCAGGTTTCGATCAGCTTAAAAACAGTTCTGTGTTGCCACGCAGTCCTTCAACTTCTCTGAGGTACTACAAATAATCTCAATAATAATAATTAATTGTTTTAATGTTTTAATAAATTTAACGACTTATTTCTTATGAGCTTTACGGAATAAATCAAACAAGAAAAAATAGAATCTCTTTGAATTCAAATATTGAACAAAAATAATTTTAACAAATTGTATTTTAAAATTTCTTATTTTAATGTACTAATTTTTAAATTAATATTATAGTTAAAAAATGTCTAATAGTTATCCTAATAACTGCGACACTAAAATCCAATTTTTTTGCTTAATTTCATATTAAAAAAAATTTTAATTATTAATTTAAATTTAGTATTTACTGCAAAGTTTTATAATAAGTGAATCATTTAAAATTAAAAATTAATTATCTAAAAAAATTATTTGAAAATTTTATACGAATTTTTTCACTGCAAACAAAAACAAGTTTTTACATTAACATTTTATAAAAATATCGTTTTTGATATAAATAAGTCGATTTATTATTGTTTGAAATATACATATTATTAATAAATAACATTTTTCACTATAATAGTAAAATTCATAATTTAATTATTGTACATCAGGAAATATTAGGTCTGGTTCGAATTAATCCGGATAAAATTGGAATTCGATACTTACCTTTTTCATAACAATGAAATGCACGAGGAATATTTTTAATTTTTTCTCTATATCTCTTTAAAAATATTAATAAAACTAATTTTTTCTTTTAATTTATAAATTAACTAAATTAAAATAGTATAAAAATATTAAATAAATTTACCGCGTATTTCTTCTAAATTAGTTATGTATCTTACTAGTTGTTTTAACATATCTTTAGTTTAATTAATATGCTAAATGTGACTATTTAATCTTATTTACAAAAATTATACTTGAAAAAATTTTATTTACAGAAATTCTATAGTAAATCAATCACTATTCAAAAATGAAGCAACTACAATGGAAATAAACTTGAGCGAGGAATCTGGTGATATTTCTGACGTTGAAAATTTTATAGTTGGAGAAGATATGGACCATTGTTATAATTCTCATCCACAAAACAAGAATCAAACTATAAAAATTGTTGAAAGAAATGTAGGACGCGAGGACCCTGTAATTGCCCAACGACCTAGACCGATGCTTTGCTCGAGAGATAATTCGCAAGGTTTTAATGCGTTTGTTTTGCCAAACAATCAACAAGCACAACCCTGCAGTTTAAGTCGTGTTTCACCAACACCGACCTTTCGCAAAAATAAACCGAAGAAAAACATTGTTTCACAACAAATTAATCCATCAATGCCTAGAAGTTTAAAAGTTCCAAAACTGGACAAATTCGCATTAAAAAAAAATGATAAGAATAAACAGGAAAAAAGAAAAGTGGAAGAAGAAATTATTACTGCATGTCAAGATTTTCGAAATTTAAATAAAAAAGCAACAAAATTAATGAATTTAAAAACCAAAGAAATAAAAAACCGGATTACGACATTGCCGATTCGTCATATGAATTTGAAAGATGGATTTTTAGATTTAATCAGAAAAGAATGGATAACACTGACAGATGAGGAGCAGGAAGAATTGTTCTCAGATATGTTAAAAGTGTTAGAAGAATATCAATATAAAAAATGACTTACATTTTAAAATATTTTCATAAATATTTGATTCTAATCTTATTTTAAGTTTAATGACTTTCTAATATTATTGTTAATTATAAGTTCACAAATAAGTTTTTGACAATAAAAAAATATGTATTAAAATATCTCTTTCAATTTATGATATTTATAGTTACAATTACCCAAGAACAAGAATATGGAGCAGGATAGAATTTTAAAAAATTTAATAATTTATCAATTCTAAATTTTCATTTGTTAGAAATTCTATGTATATAGAATAAATGTACACAAATTTGTTTGTAAAATCACCTGTTCGCAAAGATATGGTTAGGATCGAAAAAATATTGGTATCAATTTTGACAAAATTAAAAATTCCAGTTGCCGCATCCAATTTAAAGAAAAATTAGAAAGTTAATAAACTATAATAAATTAATAATTCTCCAACAATTTCTAATTATATATATATGTACTTTTTCGAAAAAAAATTTACGTTACTTAGCAACGTCTTTTATTTGTTAAAACATTTATTCAAAAATGGCAGAGGTAGACGCAATTGAAATTTTAATTAATATTATAGAAAAACATCGTATTATTTACGATAAGGCTTCTCCTGATTATAAAAATGTGAGTAAAAAGAAAGAAGTGTGGGAAGAAATCGCAACGGAACTATTTATGATAACGAATCAGCAAACTAGTGGTAAATATTAATTTATTTATTCAATGAAGAGTAAACTATAACAATTTAGATTTGAAAATTTAATTTATTTACTATTTTCTTTACAGTAGAGGAAGTGACAAATGCATGGAGGAATTTAAAGGGTCAATACGAGTCAGAACGTCGAAATGTAAGGCAATATATGTACTCAGGATCCGGAGCCACAAACTACGAATCTTCCTGGAAATATTTCAATTTGATGGGCTTCTTAGTTACTTTTCCTTTAAATCGCGAGTAAGTCAGAAATTTTTTTTCACTAATTTAAATTATATTTTTCTATTATAATTTTCAAAATATTTGAGAAATTAAACTTAGCCTTTTAGAACAAATGCAAATTTTACATAAAATAGTTAGCAGCTTTAAACGTTACTATTTAAAGACAATTTTTCAAAAAAAAAATTTTTTTGTGAAACTATAAAATTTCCATTTTTTAAAAAAATTAATATCAAAAATTTTTAATAACTTATGAATTCCAAAATATTAATAAAATTATAACGATGCTAATGAAAAATAAAAATAGAAGCTAAATGTAAAATATTATTTTACTTTTCTATTGCAGAGTGTCTACTATTTTCATTCAAAAATTTTTATTAGAGTTTTTTATGAATAATTAAATTTTTCTGACAAGTTTCTTTAAATTTTTTTAAAATAATTTTAATTAAGAATTTGGAAAATAATTGAATTAAACAAATAATTTTTCAATTTTTTAAAATAATCTTGTCTGTTTATAATTATAATTGAAAATTTGATTAATTTAATTTAATTAAAATTTATTGATACTAATTAAATTTCTGCAAAGAATTTTACTATTTACAAAAGCAATTAAATCCTTCCAAAGAATGTTATTACTTATGAAAATAATTGAATTCTTGTTAAGAGTTTTATTAAAATTTTTGAAAATAATAAGCAGTTATAATTAAATATGTACCTACTTAATAAGTAATAAAATTTTAATTTATTCAAGAAATAAATAAATATCTATTATTTGAACATTCAGAAATTTAAAATTATAAAAATTTAAGAGAAGTTCAATAATTATAATTATTGACTAATAATATAGCTTTTAGAGGCGAAAAATTTATTTAAAACTTTAAAAAAGACTTTTTATTTTAAAAATAAAATTATAGTTACGCCGGTGATTAACTTTTTTTTATTTTTTTCGCAAATTTTAAATAAAATTCTTTAAAAGCATTTAATAATTACTTTTAATAGAATGTAAATAAATTTCTATTATTTCAAAAAATTTTTAATTATTTGTTTATAAAAATCCAATTATCTTGAAACAATAGAATTGCAAAATTTAAAAAATCTTAATTTTGAGGAATTTCAAAAAAACTTTGCAAAAATTAAATTTTATTAAAAAATTTTAAGTGGATTTTTTTAAATTAACTAATAAAAATTTTAATTATTAATTTGCGCAAGTAAAAAACATGAATACATTACATTTCAATTATTTATCAATTATTCGATTTATTTTGCTTCCTCATAGAGGAAGGATTGTATGAGCAAAATTTTCGATTGTGATTTTTGGACATATTCATAAATTTATTTTCATTATACCTAATATTTTAGTACTTTATGTACGAATGGGCACTGCCCGTATAATAATGTTATAAATAAATATATAAAAATTTCTATGTAACTTTTATGTTGATTTTTAACTCTTTTATAAATTACTTCTTTTAATTATGTATTTTTCTGCACAGAACTGACAGTAATTTTCGACTGCCAAAAAGGAGGCGTGAACCTGAGGCAGACATTGTCGAAGTTGATGACGATACAGAAGGTATAAATAAAGAAAAGAAAAGAAGGTATTCTTTCTAAACAAGGTATTTGAAATAAGTTTTAAGTAATATTATATTTATAGATAACTATATTTATCTATTTATATTGTATTTTTTTTAGACGACAAACGAACAGTAGTTAACAGCAGTAGCGATGATGATCTGGGAGAAATAGAAGAACCCTCAAACTCCGGAAACGAAATGGTTGAAAACCAAAATAATTATTTTCTAGCAATCAGAGATTGCTGGAAACGCGTTTCTGATGAAAACAAAATAAGTTGCTATAATAAATTAATTCAATTAATTAAAAAAAAAAGAGTCTAGAGTGTAACACAACTTTTAATAAAACTTTGACTTTATTTAAAACCTTAAAATTATTTTACTTTACTCCAAAAAATAATTGAAATATCAAAAAATATTTGTAATATATATTTTGAATATCTTTAATTCTAAAATCATTTAGAACATAAATAAATTTTTTTAATAAATATTTAATTATTATCTACTATTTTTCCTCGGGTATTAAAATTTAATAATTTATAAGAATTGCTACTGCAACTTATTAAAAATTATTTTTAAGATTTTAATTAAATTTTTTTCTAAAAATTTTAACTAAAATATTTCAAAAAATAAGTTATACAAAATTCGTAATAAATTTTTTTTAGAATTTTCTACTTTTTTAAAATTTTAATTTGAAACTTTTTTAAATTCAATCTATATAAATATTAGTAACAATAAATTAACATTTTAAAATATAGAAATAGTTACTTATACATTATTAAAGAAAAACAAATTGATATTAATGCAAAATACCGTTTTTTTAAATTTATTTTCTAAGAAAATATAATTTTTTTTTTTTTACTTTATATATTATCTAATTAGTTCAAATTTTTAATAATTCAAATTTCTTTAGTGATAATATTATTACAAAAAATACATAAACTAATTTATTTTTCACTATTTTATAGGATGTGAAATTTCTTCTCTTTCAAATTTTTTCGACGAATTTAATTAAAATTATATTTTGTATACCTATTATTGTTAGAAATAGAAAGAATTTAAAATTAAATTTAATATTTTCTTTTTTTAAGTCTGTTAGGTTCTTATAATTATTAGTTTTTTAAATAAAGGTAAATTATACTTTTTATTTATTAGTAGGTTGGCGAGTTGACCGAGAAAAGTCCTGATTTTAAATATATCATCCGTAAAATCAGTAAATATTGGTCATTAAACTGTAAATTTTTTCACTATTCTAAAAATTCAATAATTCATTCAAAGAATAAATTTTATAGCATTTAATTTTATCTTTGTAAGATTAAAAGATTTTGACAATAGATTTAAAATTAATCAGATAGATATAGTAAATTTTTCAGAGGAAAGTAAATAAAAAGAGTAATAAAATTTCTCCGTAATTAAAAAAAACTGTTAAAATTTAATAAAAATGTAATTGGGAAATATACAAAACATTAACCAGGAGTTAGCAATTATAATAAATATCGTTACCGTTCTTTAGAAAATTAAACTCATCTTAAATTATTTCACAAATTATATAAATTTAAATTTTTTGCAATAATAATAATTTATTAAAAAAAGAATTTACGAATTTATCGTTGAAACTGAAAGATAAACAAATAATTTGAAAATTTGTTAGGTTAGACTGGGATTAAATCACAGAAACAGCGGAACATAAAACAAGCAAAGATTGTGTTGGCCCCTGGTGTTGGCAATCGACGTTCTGACGTCACATCAGCGCGCTTACATTAACGCGCTGAAAGTATAGTTTAAGCTATTGTGGACCTTCCATTAAACTGGACTACCAATGGCGTTAAGTGAGCGGCTGCTTTAAGGCCAACGCAGAATAGATCTGTAACCGGAACCGCATTCGTAAGCGTAACCGTAAGAATGAGTTAAAGAAGGATAGGTATATTGTTTATCCTTCTCTAACTCATTCTTACGCTTACGGTCACGATTGCGGTTCCGGTTACAGATCTATTTTGCGTTGGCCTTGACAGATAGTTCGGCAGCTCTATGAAAAAGGAGATCTATTTTCCCAAAACTAAAGTGAGCTGTGCGTTTCTTTTTAACGCAGCACTTCAGCGCATTGGGTGAACAGTTTTTCAGTGTACATATACACATATACTTGAGATTTTAGTCGACCTCTTAAAATCAGCCAAAAATATTTTTTTTCTATTCTGTATCGAAAAAAAAGATATATATTTTTTTATGTTTGTTTAATTGTCCAAATTTTTGAGTTATGAATTTTCGAAATTTTGGACTTTTAATTGTAGACCTATATTTAGTAGCTTATAAGTCCGAAAATATTGAGTTTACACGGAAAAACTTTTAATACCAATTGCTGTTAAACTCACAATGTATTGTTAGTAGATTGACTACTAAAGTGGGGAAACAGTGGTCAAAAAAAGAAATTTCTTATTTAAAAGAAGCTTCGATAATAATACATGTTCACTTTTTTTCAATATTGAATGTTTTTTAAGTGAATATCAAAATTTTATTTTC